TGAGGTAGTGAGAGTACACTAGGATTGACTGTGATAGTGGTCACACAAGCCTCGGCTGTCCCCAGCACCTTGACTCTTACATGTTCACGGGTGGGTGATGTTTCTGAGTGTCCTCTGGATAAAGCCGGTTTGCTGCAAAGAAGGGAATCATCTGCTGAGCCCAGCCTGGCCCCTCACGGGCTCTCTTCCTGGCCGGCCAGGGCTATGAATCGGTGTTACAGGGACCCCAGGGCTCTCGGTTGGTGGGGCCCACCCACAACAGCCCTGTCACACCATGGCAGCCAGAGGCAACATCCTTGAGGAATTAGGAAAGTGGGATTGAGAGGTGACACACGCTGCTTGTGGCCACGCGGCTACAGTGACAGACCCAGGGGCTGGGCTGCGAGCAGCATCTCCGGGATGCTGTCTGATGTCTGCCAGCAAAGAGCTAGGGGAAAGATGGAGTGAGAGGGGGTAGTTAACGCCTCGGAACCCAGAAACCTCAGCTCCTTCTCCCACCCAAGCCTCGGCTTATCATCCGTAGTCTTTGCGCCCCTGCCCCCATCACGGAGCTTTGAGTTTTTCCCTCAGGAAAAGAACTCAAGCTAAATTTATGCCAGGGCCCCCTCAGGCTCACAGAAGGAGAGGTCAGGCTTCCTGCAGCCCCAGGCCCTGACGCAGTTCCCCTTCCCCTCACAGAGGTGCTTCCATTGTTCTCAGGGGCCCGATTCCCCATCACCCTACACACACACTTCCTGTTTCCTGGCCCAGAGGAAACAGAGATTTCTGGCGGGCCGCAGATGCCTGCGCACCCCCCTCCCTCAGCTTTTAAAGGATATTAAAAATAACAAGAGTAGACAGCTTGAAGCTGAGCAGTGTGGGTGCTTGAGGCAACAGGGATCTTAGGGCCGACACCCAGCCTCTGAATTTGGGACCGTGGGTCCCTTCCATAGTACTGGGGCTGAAGATCTGGATCCTGATACTCTCTACACCTGGCATGTGGGGAAACCTCCATGGAAGCCCACAACAGCCTCACTAGAAGGACACTGACTCATCGTCTCCCAGAGATCCCTGCCTCCCCTCACCACCGTGGCCAAATGGCTGCCGCCAGGGAGAGAGATACCCTCCACCCCCCACTCCACCTTGGCACAGTCTTGGGAAGCTTCAGTCCTGGCAGTCTAGACCCTATAGTGACAGACTTTGTGACCTTGAACAGACATTCCCTTGGGGCTTTGGGGTGGGGTAGTAAGACAGCTCCTCCCCTGCAGGCATGGCCAGCACCACAGGGCCTGACTGTTCCTCTAGCTTCCCTTCCCCTGCTTCTGAGTGCCCACGCTGACTCTCTATCATGGAGAGCAGAAGGGGACAGGATGGTTCTAAATGGGGGTCCAATGGCCACTTCCATTGATGTGACCTGAGTTCTCGGGGACATCCCTTTTCACCCTGGAGTTTGAGTATTTTTTCCCCTGCTGCTAAGGGCTGTGTTGCCCATTCATGAAGCTCAGCAAATTTGATTAGAGAAGCCTAGAACCCAGAACAAGCTAACATACTCGGACACATCACCTGCCTCTTCACCGTCCAGTCCACAATACCTCTCTCCTTCCTTGGGGCCCTTACGGTACTTCTGCCACCGGGTTGCAGACTCTGGCTGCTCCTCCTGAGTCCCCAGCACTGAGTTAGGAGCCAGGGAATCTCCTTGGGAAATGCTCTTCCCTTAGGGTGGGATTCTGAGGCTCAAGTCCTGACACTGAGGGAGCAATAGCATGCCCTGCCACTGTAGACTTCACCAGAACAGCTAAAACGACAGCAGTACAGGCTGCCTGCTGAAGGCATGGAGGTGACCCGCTACTCCCACAGCATAGGGAAACCTGTCCCACAGCCACTGGCTTCCTGCCTTTCCTGGAATCAGTGACCCCTCAGAGATAGCCTAGGTACAGAGAGATGCACAGGTGTTCAGGTCTGGGAGAAGCCGGGGCTCTGAAAGGGGCCCCGTGGAATGCAGCAGTGCAGGTGGGGAGACACAGTAGCCACAAGTGACCACAACACCAGTGAATCTCACGACATACCACGAGTTTATAGCGGTCAGGACAGTGGGCAGGGGGAGGATGACGATTCCTGGCGCACTTTAGGGGCAAAGCTTATGGGGAACTATCGGAGGCTGAAGGAGGAAAAGTAGTGGACATCTCCCAGCCATGGGACGGACACTTTGAGGGCCAAATAGGGAGGCCCTGGACATTGAGCGGAGGGCGTAACCAAGGTCGCCATGGGTATACGGTGGTCTCCAGGTTGAGAGCAGTGAGGAGGCAGGACCAAGCGTCCCCCAGCAACTCCACTGCTTATGCCTGGGCTCTTCGTGCAGGGCCTCTGTTTGCCATCTCCTGGTTCATTTCTGGGAGCTTCCCAGCCTCAGCTGACCGGGGAATTCTCAAGAAAGAGTGTCTCCCTCCGGGAGCTGGGCACAGGAGACATCTCCAACCCAGGAAGCCTGGTGGCGGGATAGGGCGGGGAGGGGAAGGGGATGGAGGCTGAGGTCATGCTGCAGACCCCACTTCTGTTCACTGAAGCCCTCTCTTCCCTCCGTCTAACTCAGTGGTGGACCTACCTATGGGTCCGCAGTGCCCTGCCCAGTCATGTCCTTCTCAGCCCTCAGTAAGGACTGCTCATTCGGCCAGGCGTGTCCTCTGATGGGAAGTTGGGCCCAGGCTTGGCCGACAGAGCTGTCCTGTCCCTAGGCCAGCCACCAAGCTGGGAGATAAACAGGAAGCCCCATCTTTCTGCTGTGCAGTGTGCTGCTCTTTCCTTCCTGAGGTGCAGCTGGCTCACACGCCTGGGCCTGCTGCCCCCCGGTCTCGTACTGTCCAAGGTGCCCAGGCAGGCCTCTGTCGGGACCTAGGTCTTCCCTCTCCTGGGGCTTCAGAGGCCAGACGCTCAGCGGTGAGGGGTCCAAGGAAAGTCCTGGGAGACCAGGGAGGCTCTCTGTTCAGTCCCTGCACCCTACCTGGCCTGTGGGAAGGTAAGGCAACCATGTTCCTTTAACCATCAACCTCAGAGCATTGGCAGGTAGGCTAGAAGGTAGCTGAGATACACTGGGAAACTGAGGCACAGTGTGGGGAGCAGTTTCCTGACTTCAGTAGTTCCTGCCTTCAGTGACACTTTAACCAGGGCGGGGCTCCTGACCCAGGGCTTCAGGCCCGCATATGGGCCATGCCCATCTGATCTCCAGTCTTCAGGAACTGTGGGAGACGGGAGGGGGGTATGTGGGGTGCCCTAGTGTCAATGGGCGATGACAGACCTAAGGAGGAGGTGCCCCTGGCTCCTTCCAAAGTGCAGTGACTGTAAGCAAGTTCTACCAGCGAGAAGACCGGCCTGAGGCTCTTCAGAGGAAGGGAGGGGAGTCCAGGAGCATCTCCGTAGACCACAGCTCCCTCAGCAGCTCCCGGGACCTGTTAGCCAGCTCCTCCTCCCCCTGGGAGTCCCTCCTTCTTCTGTCCCTGACACGCCCAGTGTCAAGGTGAGACTCCAGCCTGCCTTCTGTATCTGTGCCTGGGGTTGAGGGATGTCTGTGAGTCAGATCCCATGGTGGCATTCGGATGACACTGTGGGACAAAGCTGGCACGTTGAGGCTCTGAACCAAGGATCTCTTTTCTTGGGTTTGTCCCAGCCTCGGCCAGGCTGGGGTAGGGGAAGACGGAGTAGTCAGGAGAGGAATGCAGACACATGGCCAACGGACCAGCAAGGCTACCCCACACTGGCCTGCGGCCCTTCACAGGTCTCCATAGGCAGACCCGGGGGCCTCTGGTTTGGAGTCTTCCCCCTCCACACCTGGAAGTCTGGCAGTTTCCCTATGCACCAAGCACCAGTGGGGGGTGGGGGTGGATCGCAACTCTGCCACCCGCAGCACGGCTGGCACAGCCGGGTCTGATGACTGCTTGAGTTCCCTGAGGGAAGGAGGGCGCTGCTCCTGAGCTAGCCTGTTTCAGCTCTGCTCCATCTCACTGCTCACCTGGCCGAGTCCCTTCCCTCTCTGAGCCTCAGTTTCCCTTTTAGTAGACAAAAGGATCTGAATTGAGCCAGTCCAATGCTTGCTGGTGAATGAGGGAAAGGCAGATGGCTCAGTACTTGAGCTGGGACACAGAGGGGCAGTCCCAGGTGACGTGACAGAAGGGTGTCTCTAGGACCTGCTGGTGAGATACTCTAGCCCTTATGGACAGTATGAGCCCTTGGGTGGAAGCAGGGGCCGAGCAGAGCCAGGCAATGGAGGGCTGAGGGTGTGGCCAGTGTGCGTGTGTCTGAAGGAGGAGGTAGGAATGGGGCCTCCACCCATCAGGTCTGCATTTAGGGCAAGAGCACCTCCTAAAATCTCTCTCTAGACCCTCAGGCCAACAACATTTGAATGCCACGAGCCCCTTTAACCATCATGACTCTGTTGACCAACACCTTGGGACAAATGGGGAAACTGAGCTCTGGGAAGAGAAGTGGACTCTCCTAATTGCCCGGAGCCCTGTTTCCTGCCTGCAGGCTGAGGCCTCCAGCAGTCTCCTCCCCTGGCTGTGTTTTGGGGGTGGGGTGCTGCTGATGAGAAGCAAGCAACAGCAGGGTGGGGGGGCAGCACCTCCAGTTCAGCACTCCACCAGGAAGCTCCCAGGCTGCCCCACCCCCGTCCTAGCCCAAGTAGTCCAGCTGGGCGGGGCGGGAGAGAGATCGGGCACAGAAAGGAGATGTCCCAGGCTGAGCCGAGGCAAGGCTGGTTACCATAAGGACAGCCAGGGTGGAAAGGTTTAGTTCTGGGTGCCCAGTTACCGAGGTCCGGGCACGTTCTTGGCAGCTGCGCAGTCCTGGGCTGCACCCTTGCCATCTGCTTCCACAGGGTCTGTGAGCCTGGCCTGAGTCTCCCACCGTCGAGCGTCACACCGGCAGCTGGGACCCTAGGGAATTATGGAGCCCCACTCCCGCCACTTGAAAGGCCTTTCCCTCTCACAGCCTGCTGGGGCTGAGGGAGGGGAGGAGAGGCTGAGAGCACCCTTTGCTCCCCCAGGGACAGTCATCCCAGGACACCCTGTGTCAACTGAACCTGGAGGGTTTCAACTCCATCTGCACACCTCTGGAGTCGGGGGGCTCACTGCCAGTCTGGGCAGCTCTCCTGGAAGGAACAGCCTGGGCTCTAAGACAGTCTGAGCTGAGTTTGAGCCAGTGTTTGTCTCGTCCTGGGCCTTGGGACCCACAGAATGAGCTATTCTCAGACCATCTGTCCTGTCTTGTCCGCCATCCATCCAACTGAACACCAGCAGAGCTCTTCCCTGGTCAGAGCTACAGTGATGCAGGCTCCCCCTCTACACGGTATTACACACATTTAGGGAGGATCCAAGCTCCTGTGTCCCAAAGAACTGGTCCTTCTGTCATCCACATGGATGTAGCCCTGTGGTCCTCTGTGGAATGGGAAGGACCTGGTCACACCTCCTGTTTCATACTGTCACCAGCCAGGTTGTCCCTGAACACAGGCTGGGTCTCAGGCTGCTTCAGGGCTAGACCCTGGAGTCCCAGGGGAGCAACAACCCCCTCCTCCACAGTTTGGTCAGCCCCCCCTCCCTTAATGCCCCCCTCAGCCCCTTGGCCTCCTGTTTGTTCGCTGACGGATCCCTGTTATCAGCAGAGAACACACACAGGAAGTCCGGCGGGAAGGGCCCATCCCAATCCCGATTTACACGGGATGGAGCATAAAAAGCCACCCTTCCTCGCCCGGGAGGAGCCTCTGTGTACCAGCAGGCTGCTGTGCAGGCTGCGAGGAAGGCTGGAGCTGACAGGACAGGCGGGCAGACCTCAAGAGGGGTCTTGGGCAGCAGACTCTACCTTGAAGGGCAGGGTGCTTGATTGGCTCATGGAGGCAGCAGAGACGGCCATGGCCAGGCCTGGGCGGCATCAGGTACGCAGAATGGCCCTGCAGGGTAGAAAATGGGTGGAGTGGGCCTTGAGTGACCCAGGACCCAAATGAAATGGTTGCAACAGCCATTAGCTGTTGAGCTGTGAGGTACGATGTCCCTACTGTTAGCCATTCTAATCCAGCAGAGGACACCTTAGGCCTGATGGCTCAGCACTTGTTCTGGAACCAACCCTGAAAGGAGAAGCTGAGAATAGCTTAGCCCCCAGCCCATCTACCTCCTGACCCCACTCCTGCTTTCTTTGGAGGATCCGCTGGGTAGGCGTCAGAGCTCCATCCAGCAGTTCCCTCTGGGCAAGGCTTATGTTCTCTACGTTGCTGAGACAGGAGTGGGGGCTCCTAAGCTTGCCATTAGCAGTCAACGAGCATTCCAGGGAACGGGAGTGCTGGCCAGGAAATCAGCCCCTAAAGTGGGAGCTCTAAAGCCATGTTTGCAACCAGGATGAGTCATGCACATTGAGGGGCACAGAACAAGGGGCTAGGACGAGCCCATCTCTTTGGGGCTTTAGGCGTAGGGACAGCTTCGAGATGTGCACTTGGGGTCACCTGGGTGATCCTATTGGCCCATCTTGGCTCCTGGTGAAGCCTCTTGGGTTCCTTCTCCCTAGTACCTGAGCCCTGTTCTCAGCCCCCCCAAACCCACATGGGGCCTCCTGGACCCTCCCTCCACTCAGTGGCATCCCTTTTTCAGACTAGCGAATTAGTTATGTCTCAGCCTAGGTGAAGGCAGAGAAGACCAGTAAAAGCTATCCAAGTTGCCCTCAGGCCAACAGACAGTGGGAAGAACACCGCTGGCCAAAGGTGCGAATGCCCACAGCTCCAGGAACCCAAATGGGGTGAGGGGAAGGGCTGTGTAGGGTACTCTCCCCCTCCGAGCATCAGATGTACCTCTTTACTGCTGAGACTGACTGATAAATGCCTTGCGTAGGCTTAGGGGGCCAGGAGACCCAGAAGCCCCATTGACAACAATAGGTACAGACCCATTTGCCAGGAGGATTTCTAGTTCAGGGCGGTAGCCACCGAATAGAGAGGCCTTGTTCAGGAACTCCTCCCTTCAGCTCATGTACACCAACCGAGGTGGGCCAGGCCGGAGCTCTGAGTGGCTAGGCCATTCTTCTTAGTGTATAGGCTCTGCGCACTGCACTCGGCTTCATGGGGGGGCAGTGCTTCTGCTCATCAGGGTTTCCATCTATCTTTAGGCAGCTCAGGGATGGAGGCAGAGGTCACATTTGACAGAGGGCGGGGAGTTGGGCAGGTTAAGCCTATCCCAAGGTAGGGCATGCTGTAGTTTCTGTGGTCAGTGGCTCCTTCTGGGAGCAGATACAGGCCAGATCAACCTGGGACATGATGGGTAAACAGAGCGGGGTCTGTAGGTCTCGAGCAGGTTGAAATACCATAGCTATATGGAAGCCTACACTCCAAACTTCTTCCCAGCCTGTGGACATGACAGTAAACTAGGTCCCAACTCATACCCCATCTCTGACCCACAGCCTCCGGCAGCAGCAAGACTCTGGCTGTTCCAGCTGCTCGTGAGAATAGCTGCCACCAGTACCCAGGGCATGACTAGAGGCCAGACCACAGGTGAGTCCCCAGCAAGCCTTCTGGACAGCAGTCAGGAGTCTCGCCTTGCAGGGAGCATTCACGGGAACATGTGTTAACCAAGACATGACTAGGGTTGGAGAAACTGACAAGGTTTACACACCTTAAGAGCTGGGACAACCACAGAGGCAACAGAGTTGCAGAATGAATTCAGAAATGGAGACTGGGAGAGAGGAAGGATGATAAACCCAGAAGCCTGGGGGTGGGGGCGTAGGGGGCTGTCAGCTCATAGGAGGAGCACAGGGTGGTCCTGACTGTCTCCAATAAGGCAGTGACACCAACCACAGTGGCCAAGGAGTGTCAGGAGAGATCCCCAGAAGGTCTCCCCGTGTAAAGGCCTATGACTGCCAAGGAGGTTTGTAGTCCCACCTAGATCTCTTCTGGGCTCTGCCCAGGGATCTCGGTCTAGTATTGGGGCTGGGTGGGTCACGATGCCCACCCTTTACATGGCTGCAGGACCATGGTAAGCTGTAGTCTTTTTTTTTTTTTTTTTTTGGTTTTTCGAGACAGGGTTTCTCTGTGGCTTTGGAGACTGTCCTGGAACTCACTTTGTAGATCAGGCTGGTCTCGAACTCACAGAGATCCGCCTGCCTCTGCCTCCCGAGTGCTGGGATTAAAGCTGTAGTCTTCTAATGCCAACCAGGAACAAGCATCAGCTCGAGAGTTGGCCAAGTCCTTGTGGGAACCACTCATAACCTCCTGACTACTAGAACCTGTTTAGTCCTTTGTTCCCAGGAGCTACGCAATCCGCTGCAGGGCTGGGTACAGACAGAATGCTTGAAGGGGGGGGGCTCGAGGGGCAGCACTCAGAGGTTAGTTGGATCGCATCTAGACCATCAGGGTCTGGCTTACTCGCTACAAAGCTCTTGGAAGCTTCCACCGCTGAGACTCAGTTTCTCCAACTGCGAAATGGGGATGCACGGAGCTGGGAGCCCATGGGGAGGGGGTAGGGTTCCTGCTCAGGCATCAGGTGGGGCGGGGCGGAGGGCGGGGCGGGGCGGGACCGGGTCCCCCACAGCTCGGCGGCGGCGGTGGCGGTGGCGCCTGCGCGCCCCGGACCGCGCGGTGAGTGCGGAGGGAGCCGGGGGGCCTGGGCGCCGGGAGTAGGGTTTTGGAGGCAGCCCAGGAGGGGCCGGGGTGATCGGGACTGTCGGGTGCCAAGCTTAGGGTTGGCCACTCAGGCAACGCCGAGCGATCTCTGGGACCCGAGAGGTGAGCGCGCGGGGGCTGCGGCTGGTCTGTGCACGGACCCCAAGCCCCAGCCCGGTCCTGCAGCTGCCAGGAAAAAAGAGCCCCAGCGGCTTCGAGAAATGGCGACCCCTGCTGGCGGCCGGGGCGCCTCTCCCCTACCCATCCTGGCCATGCGACCTCCACCATGGTCGCAGCACCCCCACAGCATAGCTCATCCGGGTAGTCCTGGGGGGTTGTGACACTCTGCCCCTACCGCCATGGAGCCTGGAAAGGGGCTAGGCCGTGGAGAGGACGCCCCCCCTCCGTCTGGTTACCAAGCCTCTCTGGTCTCTCCACCCCAATCCGTGGGTGCTGATCCAGACACTTGTCCCGCAGCAAAGGCACCCAGGGCCCTCTCCCTACGAAGTCCAGGCTCCTCTACCGAACCAGTCTACCCCACTGGGGGCTGTTGAGTGGTAGGTGGAGAGGGGAGATGGCCGCTAGGGACCATGGTGATACTTGAGGGTTCCTGATTACTTGTCAACCTGAAGGCCACAGCCACAGCCTGTGCCCGATGCATGGCCGGGGGCACCTAGTGGTTGAACACCAAGGAAATGAGTTGCTGGCCCAGCGTTGTGCTGTCCTCCTCTGGCCTTGGGCAAAACATGACTTTTCAAAAATTGCTTCCCCTGTTTTAAAACAGTTCCCTTTCTAGACAGCCTATTCCCAGGAAGGTGCTGTGGACTAACATTTGTGGGGGCAATGACATCTGGAGAGGAACCCTCCAGGCCCCCGGGGCTAGGCACACAGGGATTGTAAGCGTCTAACACCCTCGTGCTTGTGCCGTGTGCTGGCTTATATCTCTGGGCACTGTTCCTCAGGGCCACCTGATAATGACCACTCCGATGGTGCCCTCCCTTCAGGGTTAATTTTCCCAAGCCAGCTCAGATAGACTGCAGGACACACCCCTGCCCAGGTATTTCCCTTTGGTCTTCTTGCCCCAACGTTGTCAGTGACTCACCTCAAAGCTCTCTGTCCTCTTTCTGTCTGTCTGTCTGTCTGTCTGTCTGTCTGTCTGTCTGTCTGTCTGTCTTTCTTCTTCTCCTCCTCCTCCTTCTTCTTCTTTTCTTCTTCCTCCTCCTCCTCCTCTTCCTCCTCTTCTTCTTCTTTTCTCTGTGGCTTTGGAGGCTGTCCTGGAACTATTCTTGTAGACCAGGCTGGTCTGGAACTCACAGAGATCCACCTGCCTCTGCCTCTCAAGAGTTGGGATTAAAGGTGTGTGCCACGCCTCTGCCCTCTTTCAACAGATAGGGGGTACATAAAGGAGGCTGCCTATCACCTTCCTGCCTATGAGTGTGGTGCAGGACTGTGTGGACCACACAGTAGCCCTGAGTAGTAGGCAGGGGCTTGCTCACCCCATGAAGAGAGGCTAGGCCAGCAGCCAGAGCTCAGTAACCATTGAATGCCATCACTGTTCACTATTGGATCCACTATGGAGACAGAGGGGCCTCAGATATCCTAGTGGTGCCTAAGAAAACTGAATCTCACAGAAAGGGATTACCCTAGGATCCTGGCCCATTCCTTTGGGGTAGGAGGTCTGTAGGGCTGTGCAGGGTCTGGGGAGAGGGGAGCTGCCCCTTTAGGAAGCACCAGTAGGAACCTGCAGCCTCCCACACTCTTAACTCTATGCAGGACAATGGGAAAGCTGCCCCTCCCTTTGCACAGGTCTGACTCAGTCCTTTCCACATTGTCACAGACCGTTAAATTTGGGTTGGGGTGTTTCTTGATTCCTCAGCAGCCTTCCTGCTCTGTAACACACAGCCAGAAGAAGGCTGGAGATGGGCTCCAAAGACATATTGTGGGGAGGTTCCACTATACCCCAGGCGTGAGTAAGATAGGATCACAGCCCTGGCAGCTGGGAGGTGTTTACACACATACTCTAGTCCAAGAGTGGGATCCCCTGCAAGCTGTTGATCCCCTTGCTGGTCAGAACATGCATACCTGCGGGTAGCAGGCATCTACATTATGAAACCCATAGTGCCTTGGGGGCTTGCCGAGACTTTGACAAAGAATCCCAACTCCAAACGGACCACCCGGGATGGCTTCAGCTCCCTCCACTTCAGACAGTGGAAGATACGGGAAAGCCCTCAGTCCAGCTTGGGGTGGGGGAAGACCCAGGCCCCACCCAGAACCTCAGCTACCCTCTACCCTAGCAGGAATCAGGCTCCTCCCCCCCAGGAGTCCTGGTCAGCAGGCCTAACTCTGTGTTTTGGGAGGGGTCAGCTTGGCTGGCAGAGATGGGCCAGAGGCAGGAGAAAGCCAGCGTGGCCTTTGGATGCTATCGCCTGGGGTAGTGGTGGCCTCAGCACCCAACAAGTGGGTACAGACTCTGCTGGAAGCCTGGTCCAGGGGTTCCATAGGGGACTGACAGGACCCAACCTTTTTCCTTAGGCCACCCAAAGAAGGCTACCCCACTTAGATACGCAGACCATGTGGGGCTCCCGTGAGCTGCTTGTGGCATGGTGTCTAGTGTTGGCAGCAGGTGGCACTGAGCATGTCTACAGGCCCAGGTGAGCAAGGGCTTGGGCCTTGTCCAGAGCCCCTTAACCCTGCCGGGGGGGGGGGGGAACAATTCCCTGTGGGCTCCAGCTGAAGATCCTGCTCACAGCAACACTGGGAAGCCCCCATACCCTGTGCTTCTCCATACCTGGACTGGGAGAGTCGCGGCTCTGGACCCCCGCTGACCCCATCCCCTATAGCCGCAGAGTGTGTGCTGTGGAAGTTTCTGGAGGTCCCAACTTGGAGTCTTTTGTACAGCGTGTATACCAGCCTTTCCTAACCACCTGTGATGGTCACCGTGCCTGCAGCACTTACCGGTGAGTACTCACTGCTCATCTCACCCTTGCCAAGGTGAGCAATGCTTGGAGCCCAAAAGCCTGCCTCACCCTGAGCGGGAGAGCTGAGGCCAAAGCAGTGAGGTATTCTTGACAGCTTTGGAGGCTGGTACCCAAGGATGCTGTGTAATCATTCTCAGCATTGTCCTCTGAGAGGATGTCACCTCAAAGGGCATCCCCCATATGTATAGGGGCTTCTCATCACATCTGTACCCCTCTTTCAGAGTTTACTCCTTCCTTCCCAGCATTGCCAGCTAGGAGTCCTTATCCACAGGGACAATGCCCATGTGGACTATCCGATGTCCCATCAGGCTAATGGAACAGTGAGCAGCACAGGACACAGCCAAGAGGGCTTGTTCTGATGTGGGAAGTTCAGCCTCCTCCCTGCCTAGGAACACCTGAGGAAGGCCTAGGTGCATGAGCTTCCTCCCTGGCTCAAGAAGCCAGATTTCAGAGACTCCTGAACTTCCAAAGTTACATGAGTGCTGGAGTCAGAGAGCAGCCTTAGCACCAGGGGCCCAGAGCCCTGGAAAGGAAAGCAAGCCAGGCTCCGGCCAGCTCTGAAGTGGGCACTGCAGAAGGGGCCAGCCCCTGGCTACTCCCTGGGCTTGTGTGTCCTAATTAAGTGGCACACACATGGGGGCTGGAGAGATGGCTTAGAAGTTAAGAGCACTGCATGTTCTTCAAGAGGTCCTGAGTTCAATTTTCAGCAACCACATGGTGGCTCACAACCATCTATAATGAGGTCTGATGCCTTCTCCTGGGGTACAAGCATGTATACAGATTTTTAAAAAACTATGCATAATAAATAAATAATTTTTAAAAAAGTGGCACACACATGCTCGTATGCTGACCCTGTCTGTGCCAAGTGATCTGGGGCTTGGGAAGGGAACCTCTGAGATCCTGGGTCACCCCATGTTGGACCCCCCCCTCTGAACCACCCTTATTCATAGAACCATCTACCGGACTGCCTATCGCCGCAGCCCTGGGCCAACTCCCACCAGGCCTCACTATGCCTGCTGCCCTGGTTGGAAGAGGACCAACGGACTTCCCGGGGCTTGTGGAGCAGGTGAGGGCAGCGTGCACTGTGCCCAGTGTAAGAGACCCCACTTCCAACTGCCCAGCAGAGGCCCTGCTGCCTCCTGTCCCCCAAGCAATGCATCCTCGCTGCAGGGCAGCCCTTCCCTGGCTGCCATAGGGCTCTGGAGACCCTCCTGAGTTGGTGACAGACAGGCCTCTTCTACCCACAGCAATATGCCAGCCTCCATGTGGGAATGGAGGGAGCTGCGTCCGCCCAGGCCACTGCCGCTGCCCTGCGGGATGGCAAGGAGATACTTGCCAGATAGGTAAGCACCACTCTTCGTGAAAGAGGGGTTTTCTTGGTCCCTTGCATAGTCTAGGTTACTGCCGGCTGAAGTGAGTTTTCACTCATAGGTGGGTCTTAACAGGGGTCTGTGGCCAGGACCTTGCCTTCTGTAGACACAACTAGACTGACGCCTTCATTTTCCTACAGATGTGGACGAATGCAGTACCGGAGAGGCCAGCTGTTCCCAGCGCTGCGTCAATACTCTGGGCAGTTACTGGTGCGAGTGCTGGGAGGGGCAAAGCCTGTCTGTAGATGGGAGGCGCTGCCTGCCCAAGGAGGGACCCTCCCTGGTGGCCCCCAAGCCCACAGCAGGTAATCTTGCCTTTCCACCCTGCGGTGACTGACCTGGTTGCTGGGTTGTGAGCATCTGCTTCTGTGACTGAGCTGAGCATGGAGGTCACAGGGGGCAGCTAGCCCTGGGTGGGGTCCAGCACTGTGCTGTGAAGCCTGAGCCCAGGCATCCTGGGCTAGCGGGGGAGGCTCCTTGTCTGGGTGGAGGGGCCACTTTCCTCTGAAGGTTTCTGGGAGGTATTGTGGGGAGATGAGGAATACTTGGAGCCTCATCTCAGTCAACTGGGTAAAAACGAGCCCCACCCTGGGTCTGGCAGCCTGGAGACACCGTGTCTTTGCCGGTGACAGCACATTATTACTTTTGGTACGCGCTGTGACACTTCAAACTCGTACCGTGAGTAATAATGCGCTGTCAACAGCACAGCGCCGGGAGCGCATCGGACCTGGGTAAGGATCACCATCGGCATGCAAGACCCGAGCTCTCGGTAGCTGGGTGGGGCGGGGGCAGAGGCTGCTCTGAGTTATGTGCTTTGGTAGGGCCTGAGACTCACGGCAACTTGCAGAGCCTTTGCATCTCCAGGCTCTGCTCCCACAGCTGTGGCAGCAGACATAGGGCTGCCTAAGGCTAAGAGCTCATTGTGGGGCAGGGAACTCCCCTGATTAGCACTCGGATCTGCCCTCAGGAGTGGACAGCGTGACGAGGGAGGAGGTGCACAGGCTGCAGTCCCGGGTTGATGTGCTGGAGCAGGTGAGGCTTGGCTGGGGGCGGGTCTGGCCGGTGCCCACGAGCCCCATAGTGTCTGGTGCTGCGGTTCCAAGCCATGGGATGGTCGGGGGTTTTATGGGAAAGGGCTGTAGGGAATCTGGCTTTCTTACTATGCCAGGCAGCACTGTGTGGGATTCCCCAGCCTGGGAGGAACCGAGGTTCAGAGTCCACTTAGCCTGTTATATACACAAGGACTCTTCCAAGTGTCATCAAGCCACAGGCCCCATGGCTCTGCTGGCTTGTCTCTGGGGTCCCGGAACCCTTTAGCTAGGTTGTGGGTATGTTATACACCTGTGTCTATTTTGGGCTCCCTCTATTTGTAAGCAGGGGCCCCTGCTGCTGCGGCTTAGTAGAGGGCTTATCGCACCCCTGCTTGTCCTTCCTTACATCCCCATGCAATAGAGGTGAAGAGGGGTCTCACTTGGCTTTTTGCAACCTCCCTTACAGAAACTGCAGTTGGTGTTGGCTCCACTGCATAGCCTGGCCTCTCGGGCTACAGAGCATGGGCTACAAGACCCGGGCAGCCTGCTGGCCCACTCCTTCCAGCAGCTGGACCGCATTGATTCACTGAGTGAGCAGGTCTCCTTCTTGGAGGAGCAGCTAGGGTCCTGTGAGTGCCACCCACAAAGATCCCGGGGAACCCATGGGGTGGATGGAACTACACCCCTGGGGATGGGCAGATTTGCAAGTTTTCACCCTCTTTCCTCTCCTGCTGTAGGCTCTTGCAAAAAAGATCTGTTATAGCATCTCACCACCCAGGTTGGACTGAGCTGCCACCCCCACATCCCTGCCAGCCAGAATTCAGGTGCTATCTGGTGGTGCCTGTGAGCAGAAATCCCTGCTTGTCTGTCCCCTTTTCTCAGGTCCTAGGGTTTGGGCATGGGGAGAGGGGTCTTGTGACTCTCCCAACAGGGCTTTCCAGGAAAGGTACGAGAGCGCCCTGTCCAGAGGTGAGGCGGGGATTGTCCCCATCTTTGTCATAATAAAGCTGGGACTTGAACTGCTGTCGGTGGGTGAATTGGGACTGGGCGTGCACTGTACTCCTGCCCTGGAGGTTCCAGGTAAAGTGAAGCACCTGTGTGCAAACAGGAGCTGCAGCAGGCAGACTGAGACCCCAGGTTTCTCTTGGTGGCGCGCTAGCTCCACACACAGCCAGAGGCTGAAAGGCCGGTCTTCAGCCTGTCCTCGAGGTCATGCCACCAGGCCCATGCTCCGTCCACCCTTCAGTTCTGTGAACCCCACACATTCACTGAGAGCAGCCCTGCTGGCCAATCACAGCTCACCCTCTGCAGGCAATTCGGGGGAGCAGGGAACTTACACACTGCAGCCCCAGAGAAAGGACATGTGGGTGGGCAGATACCATCCTTGCCACCCTCGATCCCTGGATGGAGACCTGGGAAGGGGCTCTTGCCCACCCTCTGAAAGAGACCCCTCGTCTCTAGGCACTTCTCAGAGTTCATTTATAAAAAGAAAAAAAAAAAAACAGTACAGCAGTGATCTGTGACTGAGACCATCGGACAGTGGGGGATGGCAGGCTCTGGCCTCTGGTGCTTCCTTGAGACTGGGAGACCAGGTTCTTTTCTCTTTCTAATGGCCTGATGCAGGCCATGGCCTGGGTCCTGAATGTTGATCCTTGGGTGGCATGTTGCCCACTCCTAGGTGCCTCATGGTCTTGTGGGTCAGCCTACCTGCTGGATGGCCACACCTGGATTCTGGAGGCACAGGCACGAGGAGGGAAGTTACACGGGGTCCTGGGTCTAAGGCTTCCTGTTTCCAGGCCCCAGGGAGAGCCAGGCCAGTGGTGGGGAGCAGGATAAGGCGTTTGGTAGATGGTAGGGTATGGCCTTCTGTCCATCCTCCTGCTTCCCACCTGTCTTCCCCCAGCTCCCCTGCCCCGTGGCCCAGGCTACTGGGCTGGCACAACCCCAGTCTCTTCAATGGCAGAGTTCTCCTGGTCCATCTTGGAAATTTGTAGAAAGGTGTCCCTCATGGACTGGTAGCAAGTGTCCACAAGCTGAGTGACATCCGCTTCTGTAAGGCCTCTGGTAGGGACAGCATCCAGCACTTGTACCCTGATAATTCCTGGGGAGGAAGCAGTGGCTGTCAGGGGCTTAGAGGCCCCCCTGCTGCTGCCACCCACCTCTCCTCGCCTGGCTTCCTGCTGCCCAGCCTCTCTTCACCAGAGCCTGAATACCGTCCTCAGCTCCTGGACAGGGTCCACGTTTGTAGTTGAGGCAAACGTGTGCCTAGGGAGTTTTAGCAACTCTATCCTCTCCTGTAGCCACTGCCCAGGACTCAGGACATCTCTGTCCCCGAAAATGCACTCAGTGACCCCTGAGCATCCCTTATCACGCTCCTCCAGCCCTCCATGGTGCTGGGCCTTAGGGGCCCAGATGCTGGAGACAGCCTGGCTCGTTCCGTTGCCTTTAGACCTGTGATCCTACTCTGACTCCCAGGGTAAAGTCACATAACCCACATGCGGGCGGGGTCAGGGTCCCTGCTTGGAAGCTGGTAATAGAAGCCTAGACAGCTTAGAACTGCCACCACTCACCGGCAGGGGTCACTACAGGTCCCTACTTGTGTTGTTACACTTCCTGAACCAACAAGAGAGAGATCTCAGGAACTCAACCATGTTTAGAACCTGTTTTTCCATCTGGAACACTGAGAAACCCACTTAGAAAGAGCAATGGAGATGATGCAGTGCTTGGCAGAGATTCATTCATTTCATTCATTCATTCATTCACTCATTCACTCACAACCCAGAAGTGGGAACTCCACTACTAGGGGCCCAGAACTCTGTCTGCTAAATTAACCGTCCTCTGCTACATGAGGAGTTGCAGGCCAGCCTAGGGCATGTGAGCCCCTGTCTCAAACGAGAGAGAGAGAGAGAGAGAGAGTGAGAGAGAGCATGACGGGCGTGTGAGCTGCTGTGGCTCTGATGGGCTCACCTGAGGTGAAGAGTTTAGTCTTGACATTGTAGAAGGAAGAAAAAGAGGAGTACACCACGGGGATGATGGGTACCTGTGGGCAGGGGCACACGCTGAGGGGACAACACTACAAGGGCACCTTGGCTACTGCTAAGGTGTCCTTGTGGCTGACCCCTGCATCCTGGTGGCCTGGTGTTTCCACAGACTCATCCTGTCCCCCCCACGTCTCCTACAGGAAGCTCTCTGGGCTAGTCTCCATTTGTCACGTGTGGGAGGGTGGGGCTCCATTTAGCACTGGGGAGGTGGGGACATTGACGCTCCTCTACCCTCCTACTCTGTCTCTCACCCCCAGGAAACTAGGGGAGGGGGCTGGAGCCTGTTGGTATTCCTGGAAGGCCCCAGGGTCAACTCCAATGATGACAGGTGGCTGGGGTAATAATTAACCCTGGCAGCCAGAGCGTGGGCGGGAAGGTAGGTAGGCTGCACCCTGGACAGGCCCTGGGGGAGGGGCAGGAAACGATACATCTGGATTCCTCTGCCCCCACCACAGCCCCGAGTCTCTCTTTTCCCCAGGATCTGCCAAGGAGGACTATGACTTCAATCTCAGCCTCAGAACCATCCGGGGCTTGGTCGCTAGACAGAACGGAGGTCACAGTACAGTCTTCTGCTCCAGCCTGGGCTTCCCAACCCTTGGAACTGATGGGAGCTTTAGGGAAAGGATATATGCCATCTTGTATGGGGTTGGGCCCAGGCACCCAGGAGGCTGCCTGCCCCAGGGGCAGATGGGGCTCAGGCTTGCCAGGCAGCGAACAGTAAAACAGGATAAAAATCCCTTCTCCTGTCCCCCAGTGGTGACTTCCTCACAGCAGGGGCCCCATTCCATGGCAGATGCTCAGGGATACTCCTGATACACACTGTCTTCCCCCAATATAGGCTGAGGGCCAAGCCCAGGACAGCACTTACTTGTGCTACTCAGGGCTGGTTGGTCACTGTCCTGTGCCTGCTCAGCCTCACCATGATCAAGCCTGGGCCTGGGGCATCAGGGCAATTTCTAGGCACAATCTGCCTTATGATGCTGGGCAAACTGCCTACTCACTGGCCTCTCATCCTTACTTCCCATGAAACCCCAAATGAAGGAGTCGACCCACCTGGCCAGCTAGGGTATGGGGAGGCTGGTGTTCAAGCTCTCAGCTGCCAATGGTCACCAACCTGCTCAGGTGCTAGGGGCCGGAGCTGGTGGGGAGGCCCTTTTCCAACAAGGTGGAGGAGGTCCCTGAAGGCCAGCAGTCCCACTCTGGTTGGGATATCACCTTCAACCTTAAACCACCCTGACGCCAGAAGGGCGGAGCTTGGCCTACCTGGGCCTGGATGGCCAAGTAGAAGGCGCCTTTTTTAAAGGGCAACAGGTCCCCGTTGTCATTGCGTGTGCCCTCTGGGTAGATCCACACTTTGAGCTGCAGGGAGAGGGGAGAAAGTCGCTTAGGCGGCCCCCACCCTGCTTGGCCACCCCAGAGAGCTGCACTGCCCCCCCTCCCCCGGAAGCCTGCCTTCCTGTGCCATGCCTACACTCACGTTGTCCTTGACCATGAGGTCACCCAGGTCGGCCATCAGGGTCATGGCAGTTCTGGCACGCTGGCGGTTGATGAAGTAGACGCCCCCGAGGTACATGATGAGGCCCACAGGCCCGGTGAACAGCAGCTCACGCTTGGCGATCTGCACACAGCGCTTGGGGAGTATCTCCATGAGGCCTGTGTGGATGGGAGGGAGAGAGGGAGGAAAAGAGAGAGGGAGAGAAAAACAGTGAGAGTCAGAGATGGACGAGAGGCGATCGATGGAGACAGAGGCGTGGAGACAGTGAGAGAGGATGAGAGACAGAGAGGCAGATAAAGACAGAAGCCGGCAGGGGAGGCAGAGGAAGTGGAGACCCAGGGATGGATTCAGAGAGGGGAGGAAAAGAAGCCAGAGGGGGAGAGGCAGACATGGAGATTGAGAGACACAGACAGGGATGGAGAGAAAGAGAAGGGGAGACAGAGAGAGACACAGAGACAGAGGGGAGAATGGAAAAGAGACAGACAAAGGGGGCCTGGTTCAGGGGAGAACAGGGAACAGCCTCGGAGCCCAGCTTGGCACTCCCCGGGGAGGGGGGACTGTTGGCCCACTTGTCAAGGCCCTGCCTCTGATGCAGTCCTGTGCCTTGTCTGGCACAGCCTGCTGCTCTTACCGCCTAGCTTGAGGGAAGCCTGTGGCTAGAGAGACACAGAGGTCTTGTCCTGCACCAATCTCAGCTGGAGGCCCCAGCCCACCCAGGACTAGGATGAAAAAGGCTACCCTATCTGTGGCCAAGCCTTGGTTGCAGCCTACCCATCATGTCTAGGATACTCTGGTGATTAGAAATGATGACACAGGGACCATCCACTTCCAGTTTCTTCTGGCCTCTGACCTCAAAGCGAAGGCCATACACGTACTTGAAGGACCGCACGAACCAGCTGATGATGCTGAGGGCAGAGACACCAGTAACCACAATGAGCTTCTGTAGCCAAGGGAGGGGTCACACGGGGGCAAGCGGCAGGGAGGGCACAGCAGGCAGCACAGGAGAAGAGACTTGGGCACAGAGAGTCCTGGGGGCCAATTAGCCCTGCTGCCTACTCCCCGAGAGTACCCGAAGTGTTCTGAGTCCAGAACACTTCATTCATAAGGGACTGTCCCAGGCACTGGCTACAGGGTGGCCTATCTCCTGCTTGGCAGGACGTTTGCTGTGACAGAGGGAAGTGGAGATGGCACCACACGGACCCCAGCACACTCCATTCTGCATGTAAATTAGCATACGGCACCACTGGGTCTCCAGCAGTCCTGAGGGAAGGGGCCCTCCCAGTATGTTATAGAGCTATCTCTAGACGGTGCAGCAGATTCAAAGCAGGTTCCTCACTCGTACATTTTTAAAAGTATGGTAAAACACACATGCCACTTTAACCACCTTTATGCACACAGCTCAGTGTGGTAAGGCCATCATCGTCCAACTGCTACTGCCACTGTCTGCCCACACAACTTTCCAAACTAATGTCCCCATAACTCC